CAAGAGCAAACTGCATATTGTGGCTTGTTCAAAAGTCTAAAATAATTGTAGTTTAGCATGATATGTGAAGCCATCCCATCTAAATTCCTCCATAGTGTTGATTTTAGAATGATATTAATACAATCTCATTCTCTCAGTTGAGAACAAAATAGCCAAAGTGGCCTTTTGCACACTGAGAAGAAAAGCACCAGCAGGCATTGAAGAAACCAAGATATTCACAAGAAAAATACTTAGGGAAAAGAATGTTAAAGAAGACATGTTGGTTGTCTAATAGCTCAGACAAATAAACTCCACTGAAAGTTTTGTTTATTTGTTTGCAAGTTCCACTTGCATCAATTCAGTAAGCATCTTTTTAGATGCTTTTCTTACTGTCAGAAATGAGGGCTAAAATTAGTTATACACCAAAGACTTTTTAATGAATTAATTCATGCTGTCATTGCAGAAAACACATGGCTAGGCCAGGATCCAGATGGATTTGGACTGCTGGGGCAGTAAGTTACAATCTCTCTGCCAGAGTGAGGTCCCAGTTACAAGGAGGAAGTTACCCAGGTAGAACAGGTTGCAGGAGTCGGTTTGGGAAAAGGGATGTGGCATGCCACTGTCATGGCTAATATATTCCCTCCCCTCTTCCCAAATAGCAGCATATGGAAAAATGTAATGCCATTTCTTCTACATTCATTCCTTGGGTTCATGAAGCATTTTCCGTTCACTGTAAGCCTTTTTAAAAGGAGCTCTATTTATCATTAATAGCACACTTTTTTGTTACCATATATACTCATCCATGATACACCCCGAAAATTGGGTTCAGCTTATCCACAGATGGGCTTATCTACAAGTATATACAGTAGGTTTTCCCATCAGCTTTTTAAAAGTACCCATTTATCCCATATATACTTGCAGATAAGCCCATCTGTGGATAAGTGGACCCTCAAATTGCCATCTGCAGATAAGCCAATTGTGAAAACTAACATATATGAACATTTTGAGGGTTGGCTTATCTGCAGATAGTGCATTTTTCATGGTATTTTGATTAGCTTATCCATGGATGGGTTTATCTGCAAGCACATACAGCATGTCTTCCACTAAGGACAGGTTCTGCCAGGCAGGCAAAGTTGCCACTGCTGAAGAAGGCCACAGAGCGCACTAGGCAGCAGCCAGCTGGCAGGACTTCAAGCATGTTCTACCATGGACAGCTCCCCACCCAACCTGAGCACTCACGTAGATAAATTTATCACCAAATGAACAGGAGAAACTTGAGTACATGCTCAGCTTATGTGGTGACAACTTCCTCCCAGTCAGGTAATATTAGAAAACAAGTCCAGAGGCCACAGACTTATTTAGAAACATTTTAGGCTCCTACATCATACTAAACCTTATACTGTATAGTTCAGTTCTGGATCTGAATATTTTTATGAATCTATCCATTGTGGTTTGTATACCACGGTTTATGGTTTAGTATGAGAACTCATCTACAGATAAAATGGCTTGTTAACCATAAACAGTCAATAATGCCTAGCTGTATTTTCCTGAACTGAGTAAAATATAGGTGAGATACTCAGCTACAGCAATTTTTATATAATCTCTAAGTAATATTTTTGGAAGTTGAGTGATGACAGCCATAACTGATGTTAACAAATGTCTCAGAAATATCTGGATGACTAACACTGATTGATAGATTACTGTATTTATATTTTGTATGCACAGCATTTCTCCTCCATTTTCCCCTGTAAATTTAGGTCACGGTGAAAGATAGTGACTGGCTCAAAATACCCCAAGGAACTTTGTGGCCAAGTGAGGATTTGAACTTGGTCTTCCCTGCCCAGCCCTCTAAGCCCCACACTGCACTGGCCTTCTAGTGATGGTCTGATTTAGCAAGGCCATTCCTGTACTGGCATCAGGCATGTCTTCAGAATTTATTCTGTAGCATTTGATGATGGGATTCTAAGAAAAAGCAGTGCAGAGCAAAATAATCATATGTATTCCCCTATGATCTAATTCAGCCATCTAGTTCTCTTGCTAATTTTATTTCTTTACAGAATTCATATGTCAAATTCATGCAGTGTTTTCTAGATAATGAGAAGGTGCCTATGTGGAGGAAGACATAGAGAACAAGTCTAATAAAATGTCACTTTAACTCTGGCAATTTTCAGACCCATATTAATTTATTACAGCCTCTAGGGGACATTTGGTAACAAAGCTATTACATCCAACACTTGCTTCCTTTATTGAAAGGTGGCGAACTGAAAAACAACACAGAAAAACCCAACAACACCCCATACACAAACACGCAAATTCAGTGTTTGGAAAAGATTTTTTTTCATGACAATACTAATTTACCACAAATGTAACAGAAAATGTGAATGTAATTTTTTTTCTGTTATTTTTGCAAATAATTTCATTGTGAAGATAATCATCTTAATTGTAGAACTTGCTAAAGATTAAATGTTTCTTCCCAAACACTAAGTTGTTCTTTTGTTTTGGAAGTATAGTGAATCAGTTATAACATAATCTGTATCTATCCCTTTGAATCTAAACTGGAGATTCTTAATCAGAGAAACTCTTTGGCACATTCAGGTTTGAAAGATCGTAAAACTGTCTTATCCTTTTCTGGCTATCTTGGTATAAAAGTTTCTTATTAAATAAGTTCTTTGTTAGATCTGACTTCAGTTGATTTCTAAAAAAATTCAATCTATTGTCAATATGAGGTCATGACCTCTTCTACTTCAACGAACATCTACCGTAATAACAAATTAGTTTCACTAACTCTAACTTGATAGCTCACATTGCCTACTTGACCACCTTCATGCATATCCACTGTTTCTGCTGGCTAAGATACCATCATTGAACAGCAGATTTGGATAAACCCATTAAGACCCTTTGAAATTCTACAGACATTTCCACATAAAGAGTAAATTTAGTCTATGATATTTTACACGCTATTACAGTGGTACCTCGGGTTACGAACGCCTCTGTTAACAAACTTTTCGGGTTATAACCAGCTCCGGCCGCAAAAATTTACCTCAGTTGTGAACTCTGCCTCGGGGTATGAACAGGATATGCGGCCATTTTCCCTCCCGTGACACGGTCTGTGGCCATTTTTCTGCCCCTAACACATGGTGTGCGGCCATTTTCCGCCCGACACGTGGTCCGCGGCCATTTTTCCGCCCCTGACATGTGGTCCGCGGCCATTTTTCCGCCCCTGACAT